AACACCAAGGATCCAGGGCCCCTGGACCACAGGAGCCAAGAACACAGTGTGAGTCATCTTTAATTAAGAGTATTTCTTAAGTAAATGACTTAATAGGACAGTTACACTCATTAGAAGTACAATTATAAGACATAAGCTCGAACAGGAAAGAATGTGGAGTGTGAGGGCGGAACCTAGTCAGACGCAGTTCCTGGGTGCCTGGGAGGCAGTGGGCAGGCAGGGGCAGGAGATGATGCTCTTCTCTGTGAGCTCTCCCATGCAGCTCACCTAGGAGCTCCTAAGACAACACAGGAACGCCAGATCTCAGCACTCACCGGAGAGGCTTTGGTCTAGTTAAAATGAAATAATAAGCAAACACGAATTAAAAAATCAAGGAGTGTCCCATAAACTCTGATTCGGTTCTGGAAAAAGCCCCACCCTCCACATATCATAGCCATTCTAGGAGAAAATGCTCATTCTCCTGTGACCTGAGGCCTGGTCCCACCTGGTTCTAGCAAATGCAAGACAGCCACCTGGGACTCCACACAAGACTTCCCCCAACACCCCAGGTTTGAACCTGGTTATTTAAAGATTCCAGGGATAAAGACTTAAAAGAACCTTGCTTCTCAAGCTAGGTATGGTGGCATACAGAAACAAGAGGAAAGCGATTTCAGAGCCTGCCTAAGCTACATAGAAAGACTTTCTCTCAAAAAATAAACTAAAATAAAACTTCACATCTAATGGGGGAAGCCCATTTCTCCCAGGGATTGAAGAGATCTCTAGAGTTCTTTTGTTTGCATCCAGACTTTTAACACATTACTTCCTGCCATAGCCCAAGGGCTGTCTGGTTGGGGGTGGAGTTTCCTGACCCCAGGATCAGCCATTTAAAGATGTCCTAAGAAACTTAAGTGATCTGAGCCACCTTAAGCACACCTGCAAGCCAACTGGTGGCACTATACTTCATTGTCTAAACTTATGGTGATGACGTGGTTACGGTTCAAGGACCATGCATTGAGAACCATAGCTCCATGGTAGCCTCACAGCCATCCTATTTATGAAAGATGTTCTTTTGTGAATAACAGGATAAAGAGCTCAGAGACTCCTTCCTTAGGCTTCCCAAGGGAACCCAAGCCCACCTTTCTAACTCATACCCTTGCCACATTGTCCTCATACAGGCTCCTAGGGGACTCTGCTCTAATGGGTTGGGATCTATCCTTCTGAAATACATTAAAGATATTAATCCTGTAAGTCCCAGGCCATGACAGACTCACACAAAAACCTCCTGACAACACAGGCAGACAGAAAGCAACTGTTGGCCATAGACAGAATTTGCAGGATTGGTTGCCACTTCCCTAGTAGCTACAGTTTAAACAGAAGAAGATCTCATTTAACCTAATATGTGCAAAACATTAATTTTTGAAGACGTCAATATCAAATTCCTAGTGTTATTTGCTTTCATTTCTTTACTAAATCTTTAGGATTGGTATATATTGGGTATTTATAACACACCTCAGTTTAGACTAGTACTCTCAAACATTCAAGAGTCACACAGTGGGAAGGGGCTAATGGTGATCCTATTAGTCAGTGCAGACACCAGTCTTTCTTTTCTCAGAATCTCCTCTGCCTTTTTTCATATTATCCCTGTAATTCAGCACTTAGGTCTTATGACAGCTCATGTACAACTTGCAGTGGTAGCTGTGTTTTAATGCTGTTCGGTTTATTCTCCTGAAATGTGTACTGCCAGCCTGTACGGAGCGCCAGATCAACAAGTGCTAGCTAATAGAGCTAAATGAAACTAAAATTACATGAAGGTAGGGACAGGGAAAGCCCACGAGTGCTTCTTACTCTAAGGTTCTCCTCCCAATCACTGTGACAGCTGATCCTCTGATTTGTGCCTAGCTAGGAGAACATAACGAATAATGAAAGTTCTCAAGCCCAGCCTCTTTCTAAGTTTCCTGTTTCACTTTACTCCGCCTTTAAAAAAAAAAATCCCACCAGGAGGGCCCAGGAAATAGGAAAAATAGTTGTGCTGTTGGTTTCATGTTTGGAGAAGAACAGGGTTTCACTATCTCCATGGCACTTGGCATGAAAGTGGGCTTTGTTGCTGGAGACACTGCTTTCATTCAGGGCCCCCTTTCCCAGCTGCTGAGAGCCGGGCTGTGTTTTGACAGACGGGCCGAATGCAATGCAGACAGTTGTTTTAATTTCCAGCCAGATGCAGACATCACTCACAAGGAGCCCAAACCCCCAAAAAAGGGAATGGGCACTGGACTGCTGCTCTTAGACCTTGCAGAGTAGACCAGAGGGACCTACAGAAGCCTGCTGGGCACTGGGGTCCCAGGTATCCTGAGAGATTGAGAATCATCAGGCCTCATTTTCCCAGGAGGCACCTGTCAGAAAGCTATAGGTAGGTAATGCTGACTGTGAGCAGACTTCAAGGATTATTATTCTTTTATAGTGATAGCTAGATGTTGTCTTTCAACTGGCAAATGTTCAAGTCTCCAGCTGGATAGCTCCGTAGGATAGCATTCACTGTACAAGCTTGAATAACTGAGATCAGATCCCTATAATCTAGCTAACTTGTTGTGTATTCCAGTACACAAGAGACCCTGCTGCGAACTAAGTGGGAGGCAAAGACCAACACCTGAAATTGTCTTCTGACTATATGTGCACCATGGCAAATGCATGCGTGCATGTAGATGTGTGTGCACATACACACACACACACAATTGTTTTTGTTTTGTTTTTCGAGAGAGGGATTTTCTGTGTAAACCTGGCTGTCCTGGAACTCTCTCTGTAGACCAGGCTGGCCTCAAACTCACAGATCTGGCTGCCTTTGCCTGATTGAAACTTTTTTTTTTTTTTTAAGAAACCATAATCTCAAAGAGATGGTGAGTAAACTGTGAGAGATAAAATTCGTGGATATCCAAATTGTAATGAATCACAGCATCCTTTCAGGGTAAAGTCCCTTTCATAGCTGCCCAGAGGAATATCACCTTCCTGCCATCCACATGATGGGTATATTTTGAACAAAGTGACTGTTGAAAATCAGGCAGTTCTGATTTTCTTAGGTTGAGCCTTCTCATTCTGAGACCATAAGTCTGTTTGGTAGTCCACGATAGCCTTTTTACCTCTTACATCACCCTGTTAGGTCATACACGGCTGATTTAGAATCAACCCAGACCCTCAGATATATTCTGCTTGAGGTTTTTAAGACAATAATTCCCCAACCTAGATTTAAAGTGTCTACTTTTTAAGCCAGATGTTCAGGTTTTATGCTTACCTTCCCTACATCTTATTTCCTCATTGAAGGGAGGTTTGATTTTAAGGCTGAGCATGTATTGATATGATGTACTAAGGGTGAATGAGTGAGAAAAGAAAGGCGAACTGTCTCTCCCTGCCTACAAGTTCAAGTTAGAATGAACTCTGTCACTGCTTTTGCCCATGAAAATCCTTTAGCTTGGAAAGTTTTGTGGGTCTCTGGTTCCTCTCTTCGCCATTCTCTTCTTCCTTCTCCTTTTTTCCCTCGCTTTCCTCTTTCTCCTACGATTCCTATTATTTTTATAAGACTGAGTCTTACTTTGTAGCCTACACTGGCCTGGAATTCACTATGTGACCCAGGCTAGGTAACTTATGGATAATACTCCTACCTAAGTTCCCACTGAACTCTCAAGTGCTAAAATTCCAGACGTGAGTCAACATGCCCAACTGGATGCATTCTTATGCTTGAAGACTCACCTTTAACCGCTGTCTCCATCTTCCTGACAGATTAGCCAGGATGCCCTTCTCTTATGCTCCCAAGGCACTCAGTGCTAACACCAATCCTGGGTTCCAGTGCTGAGCAACATACAGAGCAGATATCAGTTGGGTACTGCTAATTCCAGTGGATTGTTGGGCTTTGCTCAGGTTCAGTTCGTGCCATTTGCGGTGGATTCTCTGTTACTGAACTCCAAGGCCACCACAGAACTGACATTCAATAAACTTTCACTGAGTTTGTCATGTTAGGATCCATTCTGATCTTCTGGGACGGATTTTGTGAACATGCTCCCCTCACATCTTTATCTCCTGCCAGTGGCAGAACATTCTGTCATTGGACCAAGTGTCGTGTTTTCACCTGGGCTCACACTTCTAGTAGGTGATAGTCCTCTATGGCCCAACAAATGAGCTTGTATTTCCAGCCCAGCAGGCATTTTTGCAACTCAGAAGCCTCTTACCCAGCCAACAATAGACACCTAAGATATGTCAAATGGAAACTCCAGTCGTCTAGCTCTTTTGCCTGGCCTTTATTGCCACATGTACTGGGCAGGTACAGGAGAGTGGTGTCCATGTTCACCAAGTTCAGGCCCTTGCCAAGCCTCTCCAGAAAATCAGGAGGGATTTCAAAAGCTGTGCTTTACGAAGGGGGTGGGGGGACACAGGCACTTGATCTGCAAATTCCCACTAGCCAGGCGAAGCAGAATCAAACAGGCAGCGCTTCTCTGTGGACCTTCCCATTTTGCCAGACTTTTCAAAGAATGGGAGATTTACTAGAGAAACTGAATGCAGACTTCAGAGAATGAGATAATTGGATCCAGGTGGTACACTTGGTTGGCTATAAAGTACCAGTGCCTTGCTATGAATATTAGTTGATGGGAAAAGTTTCTCCCCCCACCCCATGTGTGCTGTGCAGGAAGGATGTCTCAGCCCATGCCCAGCTGAAAGCTCTTCAGAGATGAGTTTGTGCCACTCAATAGCCTTTCAGCAGAGTGAACCATTTTTAACACTTGCGAGGGACTTGCCAGGCTCTCAGAAAGACACTGGTGGGAAGAAGCAACAGGCTAGAGGATTTTCTTTCTACCTTTGGCAAAATCAAAGAGTCCTGAGCTACCATCCAGACACTTTCTGGTTAGAGTTAGCCTCTTCGGACTCCGCCAGCAGTGAGATGGGGACATCTTGGGGGCATGGATAAAGGGGAGTTTTGAAACACGCCTTCAAGTTGTCACAACCTGACCTTCCCGTGCTCCCTTTCCTCTCTCTGCCAGGTCACCAGGGTCCCTGTTGAATCATGTGAACAGTACACAACTTGTGGAGAGTGTCTAAGCTCAGGGGATCCTCACTGTGGCTGGTGTGCCCTGCACAACATGTAAGTGTGTGGTATTCCAGAGGTGGTCCCAGCATGCAGAAGACTGGGGGTTTCCTGGTATGATATACTGGACAGTAGAGGAAATTCCCTCTTCTGAACAGTAAAGATTATAAATTAGACACGATGTGGAAGACAGGAAGAGGCCACACAGTTTGCTGCCTGAACTCAGTCCTTTGCTCGTCTTCTCAGCGACTTTGAAACCACATGATTATATTCTCACGTCACTGTGAGAAATCACAGGGCAGCTGTAGAATCTCTAAATTTTCCAAAAGCCTCTTGCAGTGACTGGGCAAGAAGCTAGGGTAAGACATACGGATCAGACGGTAGAGCACCAGAATTTAGAAATCCCACTCCAGCTAACTACTGTGTGACCCTAGGTGGGTCCCCTGACACCTCCAGGTCTGCATTTCTCCTTTGCTAAACAGGGAAAATGCCTATATCATAGGTGAATAGTAACACCTAAATGAAATAATAAGTGCTTTGGAAATAAATAAGAGGCAACACAAATCAAAATAATTATTAAGGACTCTGTACCCTTGGGAGGACCCCTCTGGCCTCATTATTTCATGATTCCAAGAAATCTGCATTGCATCCAACTGGCCTCATATCCCTATTCAGATACATCCCCACCATTGAAAACAGCTCAATAGAAATGCAAAATCACACTTAAACTTCCTAATTCGAAGAGCCCAGAGGAAGAGAAAAGGGTGAAAGCCCTAAAGCAGGGGCCTGGCTAGGGATTCTGTTGCCCAATAGTGTTGGAAACTTCATGGCGCCACGCCAGCTACCAAAGCGTCTCTATGAAATGTGCTGGGTTTGGGGTGGAGGCGGAGGCAGAGGGCCAGAGTTCAGGGTCCTGCACAATAGCTCTTGGCTTCCAGCCTCTGCAGCAGGTGTTGGGAGGGCTCCGGAGGGAGGGAGGAAGGGAGGCCTCACAGATGCAAAATCTGGACTGGATTTGAGCCCACTGACAAAGGATTGAGTCCTTATTTGGGTTTTGGAGGCATGAGACTTCTCAAAAAGTTTTACAAAAGCAACCTCAACAAAACCTAGACAGTAAGTTTCCATGTAAATCAGACAAGTGGTCAAGACGCTAAAGCTATCCACTCTGTTCGAGGAATGGAAAAGCCAGTCTATTTGTCTGCCTTCTGTGAGGCTGACCCCACAATCTGCTGGCTCTTTCTCTGAGGAATTTGACAGTTCACTCACAGCTCTGTGGAAAGGTCCCAGACTTTGCCCTCTTACTCTGCAATAGTTCCTTCTTACCTGTACCATCTGCCTCCTGCCCCAGCCTCCCTCCCTGCCTGACTCTTCAGGCTTCAGTGCCTGTTACGATTGGCGCATACAGAAAGAACACAGCAGAATTGCAGATTGTGGGTATTTTTTTATTCACAGCCTGAGCACTGTTTTCACCAACTTGTATCAGCACCTATGGGTGGATCAATAATGACCCCATCTCTCAGTTACCCTAGAATACCTCATCCTTCCTTTTGGTACAGACCAGCTATGTCTTCTGGAATGACTGAGCCCCATCAAGATAACCCAGATTTCCCATGCCCACTTGTCTTCAGAGAATCTTCCCCACCTATCTGGGCTCACACCGTCTAGCCATTCTACCCACCAAGTTTGGATGGGGACAGGAGCTGCACCTTTCATATTGAGCTTTCTCGTTACCTGGCACTCTCTTCTTCAGCAGACACTCTTCACCTTCCTCCCACCCACCCTCCCAGACTTCCCAGTTAGCAGGGCAGTGAGGACTCAGCAACTTCAGCCCCAGACCTGTAAGCCTCTTCTCAAGAAGTATAAGATTGATGCATAGGTCTGGTGACTGAGAGCCTCTGGGTCCCAGGGGAATGAAACCCTCCTCTCTCTTTTGTATGACTTGCCCCTGCAAGTGTGTTATTGTCTCCCAGACTATTATATCTCTGTTAAAGTTGTTGCCATAAATAGTATGATTAAAAAAAGAAAAGATAAAAAGAGCCATTTCAGTGAGTCAATGAGATAAAGGCTCTAGTTAAGAGCTCACTTTAAAACTATCGTAAGGATTCACTCAACCTCCATAATTCGTTCCTTTGACAGCACTCATATTTGGATCCATTATGTACTTGGAAAGGAAGAAGGGAAGAGCTTGGGGAGTCAGGATAGGAATTACTGCTTGACTGTGGATTACAGTAGTGCTATGTCCTGTTTGGCTATTAGATTTGGAGCTGCACCAGCCCTGAGCCTGGTCCATAAAACAGAGCAGGCAGTAGCCACAGGCTTCTGAGTGACTTACTTGCCAGCATGGGATGAGGATCCTGGAGCCAGAGATGAAGATATCAGGAGAAATGGCCACATGGGCTTTCTTACAGAGGCAGCCCTGGACACGTTTTGTCTGTTTTTTGATTTAAGGCATTCTTTCATGACACAAATATTTATTTAAAATATACCTTGTGACAGAATTTTTGTTGAACAAAACATAGTATCTTCCTTTAAAGAGCCATTAATCCAGCCAAAGATCACATGCAACCTGTCTCACAGCTAAGACCCTCTCTTTCTTGCTAACACCTTGGGTGATATTGTGTGATAATGTTATTAATCATTGTTATTGTTATTAATATCACTATCATAAGGACTAGCACAGGGATACGTCCACTGAATGCCAGGCTGAATTCTGAGTACTAACTTACTTTAGCCTTAGAGTAGCCTTACAAGGTAGCATATTGTCATCATCCTTGCTATTTTAAGGTTTAGGAAACAGAGAAGAGAAAGAGAAAGTCATTTGTCCACTGGGATCAAGCTAGCAGGTAACATTATCTAGAACGCTAGCCTCGCATTCTAGCTGCAGGATTCATGCTCACAGACCTACTTCTCAAGTACCCCAAACTTCTTACTTGAGCATCCCATAGTACTAACATGGTGTTCTCCATACCTTCCCAGCATCTAGACTGGAAACAAATACCTCTTCCTTGGTATATCTTTAGCTATATGTGGTCGTGAACATCTGCGAATACAGTGAAAGGCATCCCAAGGCAATAGCCTCCGTGCTGGGGCAGCAAATCTCTCTTTCCCAGGGACAGTAGAGCCATGGCCTCTTATGAATCTCTCTTCATATAGGTGCTCCCGAAGGGACAAATGCCAACGGGCATGGGAAGCAAATCGATTCGCTGCCAGTATCAGCCAGTGCATGAGCCTTGAGGTGCACCCCAGTAGCATCTCTGTGTCAGATCACAGCCGGCTGGTGAGTATACAGCAGGAGGATGGGGACACAGCACATCTCTTTATTACTGGCACATATTAACCAGAATTTCAATGAAACAAAACAACAACAACAAACAAAAAAACTATGATACAAGACCTAACAGCACATTCTTAGGACATGGTATGACTTCAGTCTTCTGTTTGTTAAATATTCAAGAAAGCTTGCTTAGCTTGCTACTATGTTTGGTGGGTAGGGGAGAAATTAAAGAAAGACTGAAAATTGTTCAAAGTGTATTCTTAAAGAGGCTATTAAACATAATAAAAATAGCCCTCAGTCACCTGTCAAGGTACAACCCAAAATATTCTATGTCCTTAGGCCCTGAGTGCAATTTCATTGTGAAGGTTTTATGAGCATTCATGAATGTTAATTAGTTAATGAACCTTTCATAGTTTGAGTTCATTCATACCCACCAGGAGGTTTGGACTCCAGTAATGCTAATGAAACAATCAGGGATGTTGTGCCTATTGTGGGAGCTGAGGACAAACTCATTGAAAAGTGGCCTGAATTCAGAATGTTTTTCAAATGCTGAAAGTCTAGTTTTTTTTACCACTAAAATGAGACTCTGCAAACTTAGCCAGGACGGAGACTGCTGTTCTAGATGGAGTCCTTAAGTAGTATACATTATTTAGGCACCAGTGAAACTTCCTTAATCCCTTGTGTGTCTTGTGAGCCTCCTGCCCCAACACTAGGGCACTGCTGGAAAGTAGAAAGCCCACAGGGAATAGAGGACAGAAGCTCTGGAGAACACAGCTTCTGAATGGGTGAGTGGTAGATGCCAAAAGGATCTGCCGTCTACCAGCCAGGTTCCTGACCTCCTTCCTGGTGAAGCTGACATCCCCAGGAGCCCAAGCTAAAGCCTGTGATAAAGTCCCAAGCTTATGACTCACTATGTGCTTTGCAGTTAATTTCCATATCAGATAGAGCAGGGTCTGAGATGAATATTAGTACAAATCCCCTACTTCCTTGAGCAGCAAGTGCTTTCTGATGCCGGACAAGATTGAAGAATTAACAATAACAATCTTTATGAAGGTCTTTGACCCCACACATCACACAACCATTTGTCATTTTAATTGCTCATCATCAAAAATGGAAGATCACTAGACCAATGCCCTTCTCTTATAGAGGAGGTCAAGGAGATCCCTGACCAATAGCTCTTGGCAGGGAGCCTTGCCGGGGCCCTGGCTCTCCTGAGCTCTTTCTTTTCCCACAGCTCAGCCTGGTTGTAAATGATGCCCCCAACCTCTCTGAGGGTATCGCCTGTGCCTTTGGGAACTTGACTGAGGTGGAAGGACAGGTGTCTGGGAGCCAAGTCATCTGCATCTCTCCTGGGCCCAAGGACGTCCCTGTTATCCCTCTGGATCAAGGTAAGGACTGCGTGCCTAAAGAGCCATGGGTGCCAGGGTGAACATAGGAGTCACATACACAGACATGAAGCTACCTGACCAGTCTTCACATACCAGTTGCTAGTGTTGGCTTGCATACTTGTTTGAGTTTAGAAGCACTGTGCTATGCCCTCAGTGAGATTTAAGGAGGAAAATGCTCATTCTTCCTGGGCTGAGAATGTATAATGTGCGCTGTGCCCACTTCCTGTTCCTTCTAGGCAATAGATTGCATTGAGCTCTCTCCTCCAAACTTGGCATGAAGGGTTCTGAGCTGATATTCTGATATTAATATGCCTAACCAAGCCAAGGGACTCATGGAATCTGTTGCTGAGGGATAACTGGTTGGATTTTCAGGGACAAAGCATGTTCACTTAGGCTTTCTCTATTGCCTATACTCCTGGGTGGCTCTATGACATGGTCTTCCCTGCAGGTGTTCACTGTACCCTACGTTCTCACTCTGTCCTCTCTCGCAGATTGGTTTGGCCTAGAGTTGCAGCTGAGATCCAAGGAGACAGGAAAGATCTTTGTCAGCACCGAGTTCAAGTTCTATAACTGCAGTGCCCACCAACTGTAAGCATGCCTCGGAAGGAACCTTGCCTGGGTCTGGATATGGGTATAAGGTTCCATTTCCTCTAGGACAAGACTTATGCAGAAGTCATATTGAAGTCTCAGAGGGTGGGGGGGGGGTGTGTGCTGGTACATGTTCATTTGAATGACAGTCACTTACCACAGCCCCTTACCTCATTCCTTTGGCTCCACCCCAGTACACTCTACCCCCAGTTCTAAAGTTAGGATATCAAGAAAAGGGTTCTGACCTAGGAGCTATAAGAAGAGGTCTTCACTTCAGTTAATTAGCAGTGGCTTTGAAGGCAGGAACTGACAGTGAGTGCTGAGGGGTCTGATATGCCCACAAAGGAGGACAGACATAAAGACAGCAGCCTCTCTCCGTACCCAGTGAGAGGGCCTGGGCTGGAAGAGGCGGAAGAGTGCAGCATATTCCTCCTCAATATATATTATAAGATAGGACAAGAGGAGCAAGAAGTGAAAATGGCCAGAGGCAACAAAGGCAGGGCAAGGACACTAAAGCAGAACTGGATAAAAGTGATCACTACCACTATATCCCAACTCCAGATGACCCTACTTCGGAACTGCAAACTTCTTGGAGGGAAGTCCTGTCAGCCTTTACAATCTAAGGCAGTGGTGGCAGAATCGATCGTTTGGGAGAGTACCTGCATCGCCGTGGCAATCCTGTGTGATGTCACCACATTTGCATGAGTTTCTATGGCAAGGAAGATATTGTCACAGGCAGCAAGTTTTGGTAGAAAAAAAAAGGCCTCCTTGACAGCCAAGATTCTATTTTCTTGCTCAACATTGTTTTACCCTATTCTGCTCCTGGAATTCTATTAAAAGAGTATCAAGTTCAGTTCCCTCTTTTTAATATGATAAGCTGAGACCCATAGATGATGAGTGCTGCAAAGACAGTGATAAAATCAGCCAGTGGAAGAGCCAGGTTAGCATCCAACCAACATCATTTCCTTCACCCTGGTCGATATTTATTATTTACTTCTTGAATCATGTGACATTATTAAGACTATATCAGTGATGGAGTACATGAAATAGCATTGATTCAAACTCATAAAAAAGTTATTTTAGACATGATTGGCTTTGGGGTGTGCATGATTACAAAAGAATCCTTTCTGGGGTGTGTATGGACCAAGTCCCCTCATACACATCACACCTCACTCTAGTCTGAGACCCCTGGATGGAAGCCCCGACCACCTAGATTTAATACGAATCCCACCAGGTGGCGCCAGATTGCAGAAGTGTTTCTGTTCTTCACAGCTTGGTAGAGTTTTGAAAGGCAGAGCTATACTAAGTTATTACATACAGAAGCTGAGGAGGAGGAAAGCCAAAACTCTCAGTACATGTCCATCACAGCGGTCTGCACACACACAGAGTCTCCGGGTGAACCCAAAGAGGAAGAAGTGCTCTATTTGGGAACAACGTTTATGTCCTAGGCATAGGCTATTGCTCCATGCAGGGACCACTAGAGATATGAGGCAAAGTCATCATTTCATACCATAACTTTCCCAAGCTCAGTAACATAGGCGCTTTGAACCAAATCACTAATACTCAAAAGGTATTCAAGAGGTTGAAATAATTGGTGATTTAACTTCTTCAAAATAATAATCACACTTAACATTATTCCTTGCAAAACCATTCCCTCCCTACTCATTATCTCACTTGACACCAAACAGCCCTGTGAACTACACAGGAATGTTTTTTATGGACAAATGAAGAAACTTTAATGCATGAAGCGAGTGACTTACTCAGAGTGACATCAATGTTGGCAGCAGAAGCAAGACTATAATCAGAGCTGCCTTTTTGGCCTCTGTGCTCTTACAGCTACTCTGGCTGATAAGAAATGTGCTGGCATTAACCATCAGCGATCAGACTTTTAAAAGCATACCACATAGTATTTACCAATTTCTATAATTTAAATGCTTCCACCATAGCCGATTTAAGTCCATCAGATTGAAATTCTGGCTTGCAAAATTCCTAAAAATATATACTAGCACACTACTGTTTTACAGGTTAAGTCATTCTCACTGCAGTCCCAGTGTATCCCTAATGTCTGCCCACATGGACATCTCAGATGCGGAATCCACAGTTCTCAGCACTAGAATATGCTCCACCACTCTACCCTCCCAAGAGTGGGATGAGGATGTAAGAATAATAGCCTTCTTTCATGGCCGGCCTGCGTGGCTGGCCCTCTTACTGTCTCCTCCTTGCAGGTGCCTGTCCTGTGTCAACAGCGCCTTCCGCTGCCATTGGTGCAAGTACCGAAATCTCTGCACACATGACCCCACCACCTGTTCCTTCCAGGAAGGCAGGATCAATGTTTCAGAGGTAAGAAGGTTCTCTGTGGCATGACAGCAATCCCAGAAAATCAGCCCCTTTGCACTGCAGATGGTCTGTCCAGTGACTTAACCATCTTTTATTCTGGCCTATCTTGGTTGCCTTATCAGAGAGTCTTCATGTTATAAATAAATGATATTATAAAATTAAGAAGGAAGCGACCAATGGCCCCCCAGCAGAGGCTATTTCTGCTAGACTGGTAGGACTACATTTAAGAGTGTAAAGGTGACTGTTAGTTGAGACTAAGAGCTCAGAGGAAGCATACCCAACAGACTCCATGCTCTGAGAGAGTGTAATGAATGCTGTCTATTCTTTGAGCCTAGCCCTTTGCTTGGCTGTAGACTTACTGTGCTTCAATAGAACATTCACTCTCAACCATCTTTTCATGCCAACTTTTCTTCCAACTCTAAAATTCAATGATTCTTTGACTCTAATGTATTACTGGGTGGGTGGCCTTGGAGACAGAGAGAAATCCAGCTAGTAAAAAGCACCAAGCATTGCCAAAAGTCCTATTATATTATCTAGTTGAAGCTCCTTCCCGAAGTCTGGCCCGCCTTTGTCATTGACACAGTGAGATTTCATGTTGTTCATCTTTACTGTGAATATTCCACTTAGTAATTATTCACTAAGATTGGTTCTCTCACATTTTCCCAATATGCCTCAGCTCCATGGAGCCTGCTTCTTCAATTTCCCTTTCTTTTGTCTAGTGTTTTTCATGCCCAAGGGTTACCAGTTAGGACTAGACAATTAAGACCTTGTATGCTTAGCACATACACACACATATACTTACATACAGAGAGAGAGATCCTCTTTTTCAGTATTTTAGAAAAATTTACAGATATTAATGAGTGGCCATGGCATTTTCATATTCTAATATAGCCTTTCTAGATATATCTCTCTCCTGTATTAAGCTATAATCTGCTTAAAAACAAGGACCACATCTTATCTGTAAATCCTAATCCTGTACCGGTGAATATTTGTAGAGTACATGAACAGGGGTAAATGGTGAACAGTGGCTGACCTCTGTACCTAAGACTAAGTGATGTTGACTGAGCTACCTGTCAATGATACTTTTTAGATGAATTTCTTGGATTTCCCAATCTTTACAGTTGTGCTGGTTGCATCAATGGCTAAACGTAAAATAGATCTTGAAATTTATTGAAATAGATACATCTGGCATTCAATAATTCACCTTTTATGAAATGGAACATATTATATGCACTAAGAAAGTAAAAATGCTTATATTTTTAGATGGCCCCATAACCAGGTTTTAAGATAGAGTCACCCACAGCTGCCTCAGAATGACAGATCCAGGGACCCAGTCCCTAGGACAATCTAGAAACATTCTTTTCTAGTCGTTGGGCACGCTGGAATGCCACACTGATCTTAATGGACACTGGAAATTAATTCCAGGCCTGGGATTCGATGGGAGTTTGAAACTCGTCTTTTTGGGGGTGGGGGCATAAGTGCTGAAGGTGTAGGGCAGAGATTAACACAGCCTAGGAGACCATGAAGGAAGTGTCCTGGGAAGCAACTCACTACAGAAGAGCTACGGTCTAGGCAGTGGAAGTTTAGCATTCTCTGTCTCAGAAACGGACCTTCACTGTGGCTGCCCAAGTTCTAAAACTCCTTCAGAAACTGGAAGAGAAAACTGGGAGGGGCTAGTGGAGATCAGGACAAAGAGCAACCATGTATCTGTGGAGGCCACCAGAGCAGGCAGATGGAGAGTCAGAGCCAAGCCTGAGGGTGACCTGCAGCTGGAGCAAGGGCAAGCAGATTGTCACAGAGAGCAAGACAAATAAACTATGGTGGAGAGACCCGAGGGCTGAGCCCCAGAGGGCTAATTGGAAGCAGGCCCAGTCCCCTTGGCCACAAGGAACCACTGAAGCATAGCTGCTCCTGGGCAAGTGAGAGATTTGAATGTCCCAGAGAGCTGGCTAGAGAGAAGCCACTGCTTCCTTGTTACTGAGGATTCAGTGATCACCAAAAGATCTTGGGAGCAAACCCAGCGGCTTCCATCACCTGTTCAGTCCAGTTTTCCTTCTTTGGTGTCTGTGCCTTGAGTTGGAAAGCAGCATCGTTCTTGTCCCCTTTGTCTCCCCATCAGATTATGTGGGAGCTGCTCTTCTCCCCACGCATGCTGACTATTGGCACAGTACCAGGACCTAATGGAGACTGTGAGGGAAGCTCAGAATCTATCCTGCTGGCTTGACTCAGCAAAGAAAGTGGAGGGCTATTTCCCAGCACAATGGCTAGGGCCACTTTCTCAAAGTCCTAAAATACAACTGAATCTTTTTACAACACATTCCTTCCTAATCAGTGGCTTCCAAGCTTAGCTATTTTTCTGTTCAAAGTGATGCTTTAGGTGACCCCGTTCCCAAAAGTTTGAAGAATAGCAAAAGTGCATTTGTCCAGTTTTGATAAAGTTGTTTTATATATAAAATCTTTATGTATCTATTTTGGGGTTACTAGAATATCTTTTTTCCAATTCCATCAAACCCCTCCTCCAAATTTGAATCAAAATTTCATGCCTGTATACTTGGTGGAAGCAATGTATCACTGATTAGCACTGCCAATTAGCACCACCGATTAGCAGCGCTGCGATGGTCACGCCTCATGTGTTCAGAGTTCTGCACCTGTGGCGCAATTCTCAGTGAGCCTTCCCAGGACTGTGCCATCAGCATCACCTGCAAAGCTGCTAGAAATTTAAATTGTTGGGTGCTATCCCAGATGACGCTGAAGACTGAGCACCATTGACAGATGGCATTTCAGTTAATTCTCTAAGCTGAATGCAGTTTCACATAACTCTTACTTGACATCTGTAGTAACCAGAATGCCAACAATTTAGGGGCATTGCCCAAGGCTATGGAGAATTCAGCATCCAGAAAAAAAAACTGACTAGTTTGCTCTCTCAGAAAACCGGTGCCTGTGAGCATGTTGGTCTCCATGGCCACCGTTATGTTTGCAGGCATGACTTTGATCTGACCCCTTGCTTTTGGTCATGAGGGTTCAGTTGTGGCTGGACGAACACCAAATCTATCTCCACAAATGGAAAAACTTCCAATGGAAGGGTCAGAAGGGCCATTTTCAGATGTTTATCTACCCACATCCTTCCAGAAGCTGCTGGGCCAATATGCTTGGGCCTGACAAGGAAGAACTGATAAGCTGAGCCAAGTACATGCAATTCTGAAACAGGAATATAGTAGCGTACATCTATTGAGCATTTTCATGTGTGCATCACCTTTATCTGTGAATCAATTTCATTTGGTCTTGACTATTAAGTTCATTCTGTGGCAGACAAAACTGAAGCTTACTATTCCTCTGATGGTTGGTCTAACAAATACTGATGTCAAAACTCAGTCCAAAGTGGCTTTGAATACAGCTTGAATCTCCTGATTCTGCCACATATACACATACAGAAGAAATACGCAGTAATCATATTAACAGTTGTTGGCCCAGCCTGTTACCACACAATCACTGCACACCCTCTTTCATGTAATCTAGTTGTTAGTTAGGTGTTACTAACACCATTTTGTACATGAAGAAGCAGAGCTTCACCCGGACCATCTCTCAAGCCCTTTGAAGGTGCTGAGCTTCATCTTTGCCACACCTTCTCCCAGTCAGAGCCCCTCCCTCCAGCTTTCTGACAGACTACCTAAACCTCTATCTCCCTGCAACACAATGTTAGCAGGTAGTATGCGCAGGAGTATGTACAGCTATCAACCTGGAAAGTGCATCTCGCCCCACAGCTGGAACAGGCCTAGTGAGATGTAGATACATAAATATCTTCTTTACACCCATCCCAAGGGAAAGATAGAACCAAATAAATCCGATTAGCTTCCCAGGATGCTGGCTGCTCTCACTCTTTGAAGTCCAGTGGGTGAAGATAATGCCATTTCCACATGGAAGAAGTCCTTTTGAGGACTAACAGGTTCCCAGCACAAAATCAGGGGGATCCCAACCCAAATGAGTGGGCAGCAAGGCTGTGGCTGGCCTTGCCTCTTACCAAGCCCTGGGTTGTTCTCAAACAGGACATCTGTTTACCTTCATTTAAACTGAGACACCTGCTGAGAAGATTTGGCTCCAATAGGGAATAGATAGACAGAGGAGATAAGATGACCTAAAGTTGTTACTGGAAAGTCTGCAGGGCCAGCTGGGGCCTTAAGTATTTTAAGAATGTTAATGAACATCTTAACATTCTTAAAAAAAAAAGTTTTTATGGTTATTAGCTTTCTTGTCCTCAGGACAAACATTCTCTCTTTCCCTCTCTCCTTGCTCTCCCCGCCCTTTCTCTCTCTTTCACTCCATCGAGTGTGTGTGTGTGTGTGTGTGTGTGTGTGTGTGTGTGAACATAAAAACAAGTGGCCTAGGAATAACTTCAGATGGAACATATCATCTTCCCAAGACACAGATGTACTGATGTTTCGACACCTCTGAGACTTCCTGGTGGTCAATTCTCTTGCCTCTTCCCCTGGTCTTTCCACTGTCATTTCTATCCCAAGCTCCCGTCCTAGCTAGTGATCACATGGATCCATCTCACGGACCAGGTCTACGTCTTTCTTGTTGCCAGAGATGCAGGTTGTGTGCTTGGAATGCCAATCACTTCTTTCTACCCTGGGAAGAGAAGAAAAGCCCTTTTCTATCTGTCCCCAGAATAACTGCCAAATAAGCAAAGCCCAGTGCATCCTTTTGCTACTAGGCCAAAGGGAAGAGCCTGTTCATCATCTTTAAAACTAATTTTAAAAGGCCTAAAAGAACATGGGGAAGTTTTCTAAAGTTCTAGACCATTATTTGAAAGATGTAACTTATATATAACTTCTGCCTGTGACTTGTCAACCTCTAAGCTGGATGTACACTGAGTATATTGTTAGCCCTCCAGAGCCATAGGGGACAAGGAGTGGTTCCAGAACCCTTTACAGATACCAAGTCCCTTCTGCCAAACCGTGTGATGTTTTCACCAAACCATACACATTCTGTCCTGTACCTTAAATGATCTTTAGATTACTCAGAACCTATCACTCTGTGTCAGTGCTGTATGAGGACCTTGTATATAGTACAGGTATAACTTTTATTTTCCAAATATCTTTGGTCCTTGGCTGATGGGATCCATGGATACTGAGGGACAATTATAGAAAGATTTTTGTCATCAAAAGTTTAAAGGATTCTACAGTGTTATTTGCTGACCTGAGACATCATACTTCAAAAGCATATCTTTAAGAGTCTAGGCCTCCTGAAATTTAAATTTGTTTTCTAAACCCATTAGAGAAACAAGAACTTGTCCTTTAGAGCAGTTGGTTCCAAATGTCTGTCTCTCCTTTCCTATCTCTCTCTCTCACACACACACTCACACACACAAACACACACACACACACACACACACACACACACACACAGAGAGAGAGAGAGAGAGAGAGAGAGAGAGAGAGAAGAGAGAGAGAGAATGTTGTATATTAGACTGTCTTCTATCAATTCTAACCTGTTAGATTCTGGCTAGATTTTTAGTTGCTGACTGGATATGCTTCTTTTCAGTGGGATACCTGGGTTTCCTGGCTATGAATCTGTGAAAGGCTCTGTCAAAAGTGCCTGCAGGGGATGAAAAGAAAAGAGCAGTAAAGAACAGGTTTATGAGTCAGCAGCGTGAGCACCTGGCACCTGAACTGGGACCCATCTGTTCTGGTGTTCCATCTGATCCAGTCCCTCGCAGAAATGCTTCTTGCTGGAGTCCTCCTATGCAGTGGCTAGCAGGCAGGAGTGGCCCACTTACCCTGGAGTCTTTCTGGTCCTCCCAGATAGGTCTCAATAAGAAATTCCTCAGGTTCCAGCTGTATGTAAATGGTCATACTCCTCAGTAGATAAGTCTGTGCCTTTAGCTAATTATGGAGCTCCAGAAACCATGGCCATCTGTAGTCCTAGCTTGGGAATCAAGTTGCTTCTCAAGTTTCCCTTATCTTTTACCAGTCTCCAAAGCTGGAATTAAAAAGAAACTACAAAATTCTTGTGTATATTACTTTATTTTCTTCTTTACATTCACCCTCTTGCAAACAATGGCTAAGTAACTTCTATATATCTGACATAAGATGAAGACTTGGAATGTGGAGTGGAAAGGTTCAGCCTCAGTCATTGAGAAGATCACAGCCCAGGAAAAAAAAAATTGTCCAAAGGAGCTGTGGCTCTGTGGATTCAGGGCAAACATGGGGCAAATACCTAGAGTTCTACCTGAAGCCAGTGCAGAAAAGTGTTTGGCCAGCCTTCCTGAGCCAAGTTGGAAGGCTGAGCATTTGATGAATAGCTATTTGATTAAGTTGAGGTGGAATAGAAGGCAGGAAGAAGATGGCAGTGGTGGATAAAAGTCAGTCTTTGGTAGGGAGAAAAGCATGCACAAACGCCTATGTTTGGTGTCAGTACGAGAAATGGCACCACAGAACTGTGTGTTCAGAATGTCCAGACCTTGATGTACAAGAATGGACAGAGTTTTTTGCAGTTGGAATTTGAAAAAGAAAGAAAGAAGGAGGAGGAAAAAGAAGGAGGAGGAAGAAGAGGAAGAAGAAGGAAGAGGAGGAGAAGGAAGAGAAGGAGGAGAAGAAAGAGGAGGAGGAGAAAAAGAAGGGACTGTGTGTGTCCACACAAAGAAGCTGACCATCTCTGTAGATCTTTAGTAGCGATTACAATTGTTCAACAGCCTGTGTTACATAAAGGATGGCTTTGGGAGTTATCTGGAGTCTTGAGACTGTCCATATTTTGCAGAAAGTACAGTAGTTTGGGTTCTCAGGCAGCAAATACCCAGCCATACCCTCTGTAAGCCTTGTAGCCACATGAGCCCCAACATGTTCCCAAAGTCCTTCTTGGAGCGAGTGTCCAGAGGACAGGGAAGATGGAGCCTCCTTCAAGAACTCTATAGCTGATCCCTGGCTATTAGACATGTTTGCATGTGAAGAGTTTCCACGTCCTCCCTTTAGGGGGCAGAGAAGGCAACTTTCCTGTGGGGAGGAAGAAGTCAACAATCCATAAGGTGTTGGACCTCTGCCTCCACACAAGTGAGGAAAATTGATCTCTCTCTCTCTCTCTCTCTCTCTCTCTCTCTCTCTCTCTCATCCTTCTCATGGCTTCTCCCTACTGCATTTCTCTATTTGGTTTTTGTTTTCCAAAGCAGTATAGTGTTCACACATGGTAATGAAATGAGATAAAAAGCCAGAGCTAGGACTTACAGCTTATCCAGGAGGTTGGGTTGGGTACTTGGTCCCCCTCCTGGGAAGCCTAGCTCAGCTGGAACTTAGCCGCTGAAGCTGTAGATAACAGCTGTCTCGCATCAGACAATGCAAATGGCCAATGGGCTGGGGAACCAGATAAAACCAGAGGTGGGGATTCTGAGCTGGGGACATGAACCCACTGAGGCTCTTTCAATTACTCATCAGAGATAAAACCCACAGTTTGCTGTACTAGTGTTTGAAAGTTAATTCCTAAATTGTAATACACACCCCCAAGATTAGGGTGGCTTGTGGAATGGTGTTGACAAAATCAAAGCCCAGTAGGAAGAAAAGATTTCATTGCCTACTGATTCAACATGTCACATAAATAAGATGCAGCTCTTTTCTTGGGCGACCCACCTGGAATCAGGAAGGTTCTAACTGGCTGTAGGTTCTGCTCCTATCTGTTCTCAACTTTGAGAACTAATAAAGGTCTCTGCTTGCTCACTTAGGACTGTCCCCAGCTTGTGCCCACAGAGGAGATTCTGATCCCAGTTGGAGAAGTGAAACCAATCACCCTCAAGGCCCGAAACCTTCCCCAGCCCCAGTCTGGTCAGCGGGGCTACGAGTGTGTGCTCAACATCCAGGGGGTTGTTCACCGAGTCCCTGCCCTGCGCTTCAACAGTTCCAGTGTGCAGTGCCAAAACAGCTCGGTAAGCAGCTCACACATATGCCAAGACCTTGGATCATGTAGGACCACAGGCAGCGCCCACATTACCAGGGACAGAGAAACCTATAAGCACCCTAAGCCAGTGAGCCATGTTCTCAGAAGAGAGAACCCTCAAAGAGAACCCTAATGGCAGAAGTTGAAATTTGGAACTTCCTTCTGAAGTTAAAGAACACATTGTTGCCATTGGGAAGACTTCTGTCAAAAGGAAATCAACCCTACCTGACATCCTATCCCCCATGCAATGTATTAGGACACTGGTGTGCATGAGGGTAGACAGAACAGTGTGGGAGGAGAGGAAGGAGATGCAACATTTCAGGAGCCACAAGGGTTAAACCTTCCCCGAATGGTGGACAGAAAGAGCGTGAGCTGTTTAATTATAATTTCAGCCCAGAGAAGATCTTTTATCTGCCAACTCCCTGTCTCTGACTGTGGGGGGTCAGCTCAGAGATGAGGGACGTGACAAAGGTGTTGAGGGAAGCTAATTCGCCTGGGAGAGATAAAGAGAATCTAGGCCTCTTATCAGGGAGCTGTCAGATTCTGGGGTCACAAGCGTTTGATAGAATTTGTAATCGGTGCCAAGTGTGCAGGAAGCCAGACTGAGAAAGAGAGCACAACAAAGGAAGAAGGCAATGGAAGGCTGGGCAGGAGAGCAACGGTGACATGCCCTCCAGAGCTAAGTGCCCATGGTCAGAAATGGGCAGCCATAAAGGGACTGTCCAGGAGATTTAACAGGGTGCAGCGGGGACTAGCCACCCAGGAGGTTGTGAAGGGCTTGAAGGTCTTCTGTGAGATCAGAGGAACAGAAGACTTAGCCTCTCTAGGGATTTTTTTCTGGTATGCTCTGGGATACCCTAGAAGATGTGAGCGCTTTCTATATTAGACACTAATCCAAGTAAAACTTATCTGCCAAGGTAGAGGAGGAGCTGGGAGATAGCGCCGTCAGTGCAGGGCCTGCGACCCAAGCGGATCCCCCATCCCCACATAAAAATGCTGATCACAAAAACAACTAGAATCCCAGTGCTGGGGTGAAGTGGTGGAAGATCCTTGGAACACATTGGACAGCCAGTCTAGCAAAATCTATGAATTCCAGCCCAATCTCAGAAACCAGGAGAATGATGAAGGAAGACACCCAGCCTCAACCTCTGGTCTCCATATGCATAGCACACAAACACATCAAAACTCATCACATACACCTGAGAGACCAACTAGCCACTCCACAGCTGTTGCCACATCCCCTGTATATGTAGATGTGAGAGCAGTGAGGACATTAAGTCCCTAAAGGAGGACCCACGAGAGAATGCATTGTAGTTCCTGGGAAGTACCAGACTTAAGACAGAAAGTGGCAATATCAGGAGTCCAAGGCTGGGGGTGGGGACGACTGGGAGGGACATAAGAAAGGACACAGGGAGGATGAATGAGAGCTAGACTTAAATGAACAGGGGTAAGCTGAAAGGGTGGCATTGTAGGGAGAAAGCAACATTTTTTTTGGATACAGACTCAACCAGTACACAGGGAGAGCCTTCAGCAAGTGTGTTCAGAGCTGATGGATTCAGCAGGAGAAAGGGGTAGAGATGGAGACCTGAGCTTTTTCAGATTTCAGAAAAACTGAAGGTGAAGCCAGAGGCTTAGGCCAGCTCCTGGTGGCCTTACTGACCTCAAGTCAGGAACAAGGTGTCATAGGGTCCCTTTGGGCAGCATGAGGAGTTGCTTTGCACTCTGGCTTCCTGTGACAGACAGCCTTGAGTGGTGTGTGCTCCTGTCCTCTCCCCGCAGTACCAGTATGACGGGATGGACATCAGCAACCTAGCAGTGGACTTTGCTGTGGTCTGGAATGGCAACTTCATCATTGACAACCCACAGGACCTGAAAGGTAAGCAGCTACTTCCGGGTGCAAGTTTGATCTTTTCTTGACCTTGGGAAAGGCTGGATTGTAGAGATCAGAGCAGACTGCTGCTGTGCCTTGAATAGCCCACGCCCTCTGCCGGCAGAGCTCTTCAGAGACTCCTGAAGCAACATTTGAGGCCATCAGAGGAGTCCTGTTGGGAGCCCCGCTTTATTACAACCAGAGTGTCCGCCAGGCAGCTGCCCGTTCTTCCGCACTATTCTGTGGCTCCTGGTAGCTTTGAAATATCTATGGAACCTGAGCTAGGAAAACAGTAGGCAGAGTATCCTGTCAGCTTCCCTAGAAAATGAGATATTTCTTTCATGCAGGCTTTCCTTCTCCTGTTCTCAGCCCTGGTCACTGTGTCAGCACAAAGAAGGCTTGTATGTCTGTGCTCTAGTTCTGAGACTCAGGCTCACATCTGGAGCACAGAGGCTCTCAGTAAGAGGGCTGGCAAGAGGGAAACTCTGAGGCTCCTGCCCTGTAAGTTCTCATTGCACTCGTCCAGAAAGCAGGTCCTGGCAGAATGACCCAACTACTGAACACATGTTGTATAACCTATTCATTAGGTAATTTTTTTAACTGTTTTTATTATTTATCTCAGTAACTCTAAATGTGTGCTTCATCCTGTACATGGTGAAGCTGAGTCGTATAGTAAGTGCTGAGATCGTCTGATTTCAGAGAAGGCCTGCAAGTTAGTACACAAGATGAGGACCTGTTGCCACTGCTGCTGGGCTCTGAGTGGGGTTTGAAGCCCTTCACCCATCAGAAGCCATTTATACTATTATGCTTCAAGTAAATGGGATTGTCATTAGCCTCTGCTTCAACTCCTGGGTCATGTCTGGGCACCAGGAGGGCAGTTAAGGGAAGGGCAAAATCTGTAGGTGCTTCAGCACCTATGGAATACAGCTTCTTGTCCCAGATACACCATTAAAGTCAGTGCATCCTACATTGCAAGACAGACTTCAGTACAGGTAGTTTGTGTTTGCTTGCTTCTAGACTAGATCTTTTTCACCACTAGACAATAAGAGATATTTTATATGCCAAGTTAGATCAGTTAGATACTAGAGGTTGCACCCAGACCCTGGAGGAAGATGGCCAGACTGGTACATCAGACTCCCCTGACATCTACAAGGCTCTGTAGGTGCCCGAGCAGCCTCTTCCTGCCTTCACTTATATTTCTAACAGATCCTTAGTGTCAAAGAAAGCTGTACATGAATTGGGTCCACTGGGCTACTGTGTTTAAGTGCTCAGGTTCCCCAACTTAGCAAACCAAGTTCTATTCTAATTGAACCATGCAAGTTTAAAGTACATCTTAGTGTCCTCACACATGCCCTAAAGGAAAGAAAGCCCACTACTTCGGGATTTGCAGAGCTTATGGCTAAAGACTACATGGTCCAAATTTACAAATGCCTCACAAGTACTTGCTCAATTTCAGATTGTCTTTGTCTGTCTTGGGGACACAGGCATAAGAGTACTTAGGACTTAGGGTGGTGAATGGTTTATGTATCTGGACAGAGAAGCTGAATGGAACAGAGGTGTCAGGGAGTGCTATGGAAAAATGAGAAATGCCTCTCCCCTGGGGCATGCACCTGACCTCCAGCAGAGGCAAACAGATAGGTCACAAAAGCTTAGGATAACTTGGCTGGAAAAGATAAAAAGTGACTTTCTGAGTCATTTCTCAGTATCCACCATGGGATTATTTTCATGAACCCCTAGAATACACACACCCAATGGCATAATATTTACACCTAACCACAAATCATTTCTAGATGACTTACAATGTATAATTGAATATAGATGTTGGGAAGAGAGGTTACATTCTAGTTATTAAGTAATAATAACAGAATATCAGTCTATACATATTACAGTTGTATCTACTTTTAGAAGCTGAATCCATGAGCTGATTGTATTTACCTGGAGAATTCGCTTGGAGCTCTGAATTCCGAGCACTAACAAGAAAGGACTAGACCCTGGGCTCATGCCACAACTATGCTTGATAGCTAGTTCCCCTAGGGCCTCCAAGTCAGTTAGAGAAAATTCAAAGCAAAAGAGTTGCAGAATGATCATGTGACCTATCAAGAACTAGTTTGTCCTCTCTGGGGACACATTCTTCATCTACACTGGCTGCGAATAGGGTTGTGTCATACTTTCCTCGCTAGCGTGCCTCCTACTTCAGTCACCTGGACTTTCTTTGAGCACAAGCTGACTCTGTTCCCAGACACACAATTTCCAGGGTACCAACTGAGAGTCCTCTCTTCTCAGGACCCACCATCAGCAAGTTTAAAACCTGTACCCATAGTAAGCTGGGACAGTCAACATGTCTCTTTTGGGCTTTATTTTTACCTTCAATGAAGAAATGAGCCCACGTCACTTAAGAATACTGTTAGAGTTTAAAGAAAATAGGTGTGTTCATGGCATCTAGTATGTCACAGGCATTGCTGAGCACTCACTGTATAACATCTCATTCAAACCTGCCCCAACCTCTGATCTCCATTGGAGAGATAGGTAAACAAGATTCAGAGATGTTAAATACTTTGTCACACTGCTGGGAAGTAGAGAATCCACAATTAAAGCAGGGATATGATTCTGCCTATGAGCAGAAACTTTTAACCCGTTATTTTCTGCTGTGCCTTTAGATGACTGCTTAGTCACCTCATTCACTCTCCATGTTTTGCTCATGCAGTGGTGGTGATCTCGATGTTATCTATGGTTGGGCAGATCTGCTGTCTACAAACAGACAGTATGTGATGGGGCCTCTCAGGCCTATCCGTGACAGCCCCTCTCTTTGCAGTTCATCTCTACAAGTGTGCAGCCCAGCGGGAGAGCTGTGGCCTCTGTCTCAAGGCCGATCACAAGTTTGAGTGTGGCTGGTGCAGTGATGAGCGCAGATGTACCCTCCACCAACACTGCCCCAGCACTTCTAGCCCTTGGCTCGACTGGTCCAGTCACAACGTCAAATGTTCCAACCCCCAAATCACAGAGGTAAGTCTCCAACTTCCGAAAGAGAAAAGGGCAGCTGGGGATATAGGAAAGAAATGTACTTATGGATTAATTCCTGAAAAGGGTATATTTGGTGGAAAGATGTGGGAGGTCGTGTGTGTGTGCGTGCGTGTGTGCACGTGTGTGCGTGTGTGCACATGTGCACGTGTGTGCATGTGTGTGTGCGTGTGTGTGAGAATGGTCTAGAACAGGTATAAGTGACAGGAGTATGGTCTATACCACAGTGCAGTGCATGATGGGAATACATATCTGTATACCCGTGTATATGAAGGAGGCAGAGTCAGCCCAGCTTCCCAGCTGGGGCAGGGTGGAAGGCTGAGCCAGGTAGGGACAAGACATTTATTCCATGGTAAAGGAACATTTCAGAAAGCAGCTTTGACTTCTCTCAGCAGAGATACTATTTGGGGAATTACAATTAGTTCAGAGGTACAAAATTGGAAACCGAAGAAGTAGACAGGCCATATGTTAGCTACATACTATTTCTCAGGAGTTTTTCTTGGTCCCAGTTTGTTTTGTGCATTTTCATGGGTGCAAATAAAGTAATTAATTATATTGGAAAAAAATTATGTTTTCAAAATAGCAAATTGCAAAGGAAGATGAATTGGTGATATGGAGAGAAATAACAGCTGCTTGGGTGCGAGGGGTCTGGAGAGGCATAGTCATATTTAACGCTGGTTGCTGCCAGCTGATTTCCAGTCAATAATCGTTATTTTTCTTTGAATCTGAATTGTGCGTTCTCTATTAATAACAAAGGCCTTGGCAGGTTCCATGGTGGTCTGCAGAGCTAATGATGCCAGAAACTATTCCTGTCTTATCTTTCCAGAGCTGATGCACTGTTCCCCTCTCTGCATCGTTTCCCCCAAAGCCATGCTCCTTTTCTCTGTGTCATGGAATGTTAGGAAACTTCTTGAACTCCTTTCTGACCCAATCAAAGTCTCAGTTCAAAAACAAAAACCTTAAAATCAACAGATACTGTAGCCTTTACATAGACTGAACGGGGAGCAGATATTTATTTAACATGCTTGGCTTTGATAGATTTAATTTTGATAGCAACTGTAAGAAATTAATTAAGTTTTCTCAGCTCCATTTCACAGAGAAGAAAAGCAAGTCCCAAATTCACACAGCAGATTAAAGGTAGCACCAGCCTTTAAACCCAGATTTCATGATAAAGTTACCTTAAATCCTTCATGATTTACCAATGGAATAGACAATTAGTGGTGCTTCACCTTAACTAGTACCCATTCCATTGCTAGTATAGACCAGATAGAAGTGACGCTCCCCCCATGTGAAGGAGTATCAAGTGTTTCAATCCCAAATCACCAAGGTGAGGCCCCAAAGTTTCAGAGAGTTGGACACAGGACCATGGGAAGGAGGTGCAGCATGCCGCTGCTTTTGTAAGTGTCTGTGGAGAAAACTGCAGTTGATGTGGACAGGAGAAAACTGCTGCGTCATGGTGCCGGTCTGTGGCAGGTTAGACCCCCCCCCCCAAACAGGAAGTGGCTTTAGTAGGAGCTTACATTCAAATGTGGCCAGTGGCCATGCCTGCTGACTTTTTAGATGGAAGAAAATGTAGAAAGGGCAAACACACACATCTTGAAGTCTTTGGAGCTCTATGCCTTCCTTATCTGTTCTGGTGGTTTCTGCCAACTTATAGCCTGAAAACTTTTATTGTCCCATATTTTGCAATATGTCTTACTGCTGTCAATACCTGTGATGTCCAGAGCTTAAATCAGGAGAGATTCTGTCATCAGCAAGCACTTCCTATCTCCACAGAATATGGAACTAAAAAGCCTGGTGTCTGTCTGCTTTCAGCCTGGCTGGAACTTCTATAAACTCTAAGGAAAGCCTCTGCCTCTAGTCACAGACTGAGGACTGACAGGCTGCTGGGTTCACAGAGGACACCCAAATTACAGGAGGCTAATTAACCTCCTGAGGTAATTAGGCTATAATTGATTTTTCCAATGCATGTATCAGCAAAAGAAGGTGTTCCAAGACTCGTAATGGTAATTTTCATGTTGAGGATGTTGATACAAAAGGGCATCTTTGGGAAGAGACAAACCTGTGCTATGCTCCAAACCCACTTAGGGACATCACTCTAGATAGGACATATGGCAGGGAGCACCCAGGCCTGGAATGACTAGACCGTTAACTGTCCTATTTTCTTTGACACGGTATCCTTTACCCCCACAAGACCACCTGGAAGTCATTTTCTATTTCTTCTAACTGGTCACTTAGGAAATAATTTCATATTTATAAAAAGATAGAAAAGTACTACAAAGAGCATTCATATCCTCTTTACCCAGGTTTTCCAAAATTATCATCTTACAAAAGCATAATGTAATTATCAGTTAATGCTGATCCAGTAATATCATCTGAGATACATGCCTTATTAGCATTTTCCCAATTGTCATAGTGACATCCTTTCTCTGGTCCAAAATCCAATCTGAGGTCTAATCTGGGAGCCAGTGTGATGTTACATTATGATATTGTCTTGTCCCTTTAGTCTTTTAATCTACAGTCCTAATAATGCCCTTCAGTGACCTTCATAGTATTAAAGAGTCTAGGCCAGTTATGTCATCAGTGTCCCTCAATTTGGATGTACCAGATGTTTCCTCGCGGTTTAATTCAGGTTAGATAATTTGGAGAAGAACCGTTAAAAGAAAAAGAGCACAGGAACCAACCTGAGGGGATCTGAGGGGAAGAAGAATCCACAGTTCTTGCTAATGTGAACAGAAAAACATTTAATAGGAGGGGAGATGTGTCTTCACACTAGAATCTCATCTAATAAACATAGAAAGAATTATGAAAAAAGAAAATCACAACTTTAATGTGCATAGCTGTAACTGTTTCAGGCAAGGATGATCCTTAGATGAAAAGATGAAGTAAAAGTTGATGAGAAATAGGGTACTTACACAATCTGGTGCTATCTTCACATAATTAACTGCAATGGGAGCAACAGTAGCTTCTCAATGAAGAAAACTGGTCAATCCTCCCCCAACCTTAACCAAAAAATCAGTGTTCACATCACCAAAACAACCCTGAAGACGTCCTGATAAAATGCCCCCTCCTAAAAGAGTGCAGTCCCTTTTCTGTGACATTTATTTTGCAAGAATAAATAATTTGTTCAAAGTCTTTAAAAGGAATCAACTCATTTTCTCATAATTGTGGGACTTCTATGTATTAATAATCTTTACATATATCTCCTTTATCTTCAGACAATATGTTGTCCTCAGTACCACCACTTGGGACAGGCAACCCAAGCCACTAATTATATGATCCTTCTAGAACATAGAGGGAAGAAGGGGCTGTGATGGTCTGTGCCCAACCGTGGGAACAAAGTGTGGCTTCAAGTGGTGCTCTTCTGCCTCCGAACAGAGAAGTAAATGAGATGACCTCAGAGGTGCTCTACTATAAAGAAGGATGTGAACTCGTGAGAAGTTACATGAATGGCCGTGTTGTTCCCTCACCTTCCTCATCCTACTGTCTCCATTGCAATCAGGCTGACCCCTAATGATCCATCTGTTATAGACGCTCCATGTTAGGACAAGTGGAACAGCCTGTTGAATTTCACAGTTTACATATACAGGTTAGGACCACCTCAGACTCACTGTCTGCTCCTTCTCACCAACTCGTGGCATGATAATGATTCTGTCCCCATAACAGGGCCTGCAGGGTTGCTTTTGTTTCCAACTGTCATCCAAGATTCTGTGCAAATGGTACCTGTTAGCCCCTGGAAAGGATGTGCTGAGGACTGGAAAGCCTATATAGCATGCTTACCCAACCATGTCTATATTATCCCCAGCCTGACTCTCAGAGCCTACTGAAACCTCAGTGATGAAACTATTATTAGTCCCCCCTAACCAGAGATGTAGTCTAAAAAGCTGTGAACTTTCAGGATTCAGCAGAAAGGAAAAGAGACAGTATATTGTTAGGAATATTTCTTAGACTAGCCTCTCCACCGATGAAAATAATTCACCAAATCAGACCAAATAAAAGATGCCCATGGTTAATGCAGTGCTCCCAAATGGCACCAGGAAAGCATGGTGAGGGGAGGAGAGAGAAGGGGAGAGCATGCAAAACCTGGACACCACGTGTTCATTTTGGGGGGGCAGCCTAAATAGCCTGTGGAAGTGGTCCTGACCCTTCCAGGGGAGGGGTCACCACTTGGCGGGCTTTCTTGACCCTCCCTGGGTAGGGGGTCACTGCTTGGCAGGCTTTCCCAGAAGTGGAGTCCTGGACTAAGGCAACTCCTAGGGGAGGGGGCTTGAAATGGATGCCAGGGGCTGGGGTGAGGCTTCCAACCAAGCTTCCCAGATTCCTTGGATATAGGGGTATCAGGGGGCTGGGGTCTCACTTCCAACCAAGCATCCCAGACTTTTTGGATAATGTCAGGGGACATACGTTCTCAAGAAAAGAAACTTGAAGATTAAGAGGACTCTAAAACAAATGCAGTGAAGGTCCCCACTTGGTCTCTGCTTTTAGTTTCCTAGGGTAACCTAAGAAAGAATCACAGACAAGGTGGTGTTCATAACAGAAATACATTTTCTCAGATGTTTTGAAGTTTCAAGTCCGAAATCAAGGTGTGGCTAGGTCTGGGAGGGCTGTGAGGGAAGATCGCAACAGGCTTTTCTTCCAGATACTGGTGCTTTGATGACACCCTAGCTCATATATTTGTCACCTAACCTCTTCCTCATGTTCACATGATGACATTCTCTCTGTGCATCTGTAGTGGTGCGCGGAATTAGAACTTCACCATATAAAGGGGAGAATGCAGCCCAACAAAATGAGAATTCTAAGAAAGAATATCACAGCTCACTGAGAAATAAATTCTCCCTTCAAAGAATATTTACTCGGTTACCAGTGCATGCTGGATGCTTTGCTTGAGTAGGAGGTTGCCATAGGATTGACTGAAACCTGGAAAGACAAGTTTTTCCCAGCACAGCCCCAATCTTGAACACTGGCTACTTGGATGATATTAGAAA